AGCTAGTCAGCAGGATACTGTGAGGTGAATCAAACACATAAGGGCCCTATCCCAAACTTCAAAGTTTCTGTTGAAAATAAATATCTGGATTCATAATTTTAATTCAACTAATTTATGTATTTTCCCCTGCCAACTATTTGGAACAGAGTTTCAGCTAAGTGGAAGCATCAAAAATAAATGTTAATTTTTTTTACTGAAGATTAGTATCTGGTAGTTGAGAAAGAATGTGTTTTAACTCTAATAAGGTGGCCATTTATTGAAATTGTCCTGATGAAAGCAGTTGTTTGCAATATGTGAGGACTGGGGTGGACTGGAAAGAACTTTAACTTTGAAGGTATTTGGCTTGAAGAAACATGTCTACATGATTTTTTTTTTCCTTTTTTAAAACAAAATCTATTTTCCTTGAATATTTAAAAATAATTGATTGTTATTTATATAGGTTCATTGTTTTTGTAGAAAAACCTACAGATGCCTTTTCTGTATTATAGTAATCATTTTTGGATAGGAGGTGAAATGCATAAGGAGAGTATTAAGAAAGAGAGAGAGGTATGGCTGAATAACTTTGATTTTTTTTTTTCTTCCCACTTTTGAAATACGATCCCAGTCACTGCACAGAATGGTGTACTGTCTCCTTTCTGTCACTCCATCTGGACTTTATTATTTTAAACAGGGTTGTGGAGTGTTGGCATTCACTGATCTATGAAGTTGCTACCGCAAAAGTGTCTTGCATCTTAAGATGGCTCAAGAAATGTACATGAGCTGTAAATGCTGTTTAAACAGAGGAGGTATTTACAACTAACATAAAGCATTTGTAAATTAAACAGTTTCAGTGTCCTAATAAAAGGAATTGTCTGAGTAACATTTCTTGTTGTGTTTTTATGTTCTTTGGCAGTTTTCATGCTAATAAGATAATGGACTTACTCTGTCTTGCTGTTGATGGATTTTTCAGATTTCAGTTTCTTGTCCAGCATGTGCTAGGTCATTGGAAAATATGTGTAGTAAAAGTCACATAAACTAATAAATCAGCTGAGCTGCAGATTGCTGGAAGTATCTATCAGTGAAGTACAGTTCTCTGCGTGACCAGTTGCTAACACTTAGGTAGCAGATACTGATGGAAAACTGCTGCTGGAAACTAGACACTGGGACAGATACAGTTTTGCTGTGACTCAGTATAGAATTTGCAATGTGTCAACAAACTCCTGAGTTCAGGTGAAATATGCTCCAGCTTTGGAAGACCTTTACGGAAGAAAATACTGGTATTTTGCCTACCATGTTATATGGGTAAGATTTCTCTATTTACTCCTGCTGTTAAAGGTGTTACTACCTGACTTCGCATGCTCTTTGGATAGCTGACCTGCATTTTCCAACAGGGGATCCAGTGTTGGCAAAAACCACTAAGTATTGGAGTCAGAGTAAAAACTTAAGTGGAATTAAAAATTTATAACCCACTGGTTAACTTATATTTGATGCAGGCCAAAAATGAGAACATTTTGGGACATCACTAACAGATAGAGACGTGATCATCCCACTCTACTCAGCACTTGTCACACTGCACTTTGAGTACTGTGTCCAGTTCTGGTCCCCACGAAGAAAGACAAGGACAGGCTGGAGAGGGTCCAAAGGAGGGCCATGAGGAAGGATTTAGGTCTCTTCTCCTTTGAGAACGGAAGGCTCAGGGCAACCCTCATCACAGTTTTTCCAAGTACTTAAAGGGCATCTACAAAGAGGGCAGAGGCTTTTTCTTCACGAGGGAACAATGGAGAAGAGAAGGGGTAATAGGTACAAGTTGGGCTGGGGAAGGTTTCATTTTGACATAAAGACATTTTTACAGTGAGAAGAACGTCAATCACTGGAAAACAACTTCCCCAGGGTTGTGATGCAGTCTCCATCACAGGTTTTCAAGATGTGACTGGTCAGGGTGCTGGGTAATCTCATCTAGTCTCCCTTTCTCACGGAATGAGATGAGACTAGATGATCTTTCAAGGTCCCTTCCAACCTGAGCTGTTCTGTGATTCTGTAGCTCTATGATTACAACTCAAGGCAGGAAAAGACAATAATTTTTAACACTTGCACTATTCAAAATTTGGTTTCTTTTGTAGCAAACCCTTTGGTAATAAGCAAAGAATGTCACAGTATGTGTTGGGGGGAATGTAAGAGAAAGAATTTACACTCAGTGCATTGCAATAAGTACATGTTAGACTGATGCTAAAGAGAGAGGATAAAAAAAAGTGATGTAACACCAGCACTCCATGATAATCTGATAGGCGGTTTTGACTTCCTGTAATCATTTTTCAGGGGTTTTGATTTTTTCTGTTCCTTCACATAACAAGATAATGAAATGGCTGTTCTGTACAGCTAATTGCTGAAAGATCAAATAGTAACTTTTTTTGTTTTAACTTTGCACAGGACAACTTTTTTAATAAGCTAGCTTCAATTGTGTTTATCATGTTTGTACTGAGTGAAGTTTTGCCTTGCTGTCAATGGTGAATGTGACCTTTAGTTACAGAATCTAAACAGACTACGATACCCCTTACTTTTATATACAGCCTTTAGGTTTAAAATCTGGGAA